CCAAATTGATAGATTAATGGCCTTTAAGGTATTTTAAAAACTCAATAGTCCAATTGTCTCATTTTAGGTTCTGTGATTACAAGTCATACTCCTGATTGGTGGGAGAACTACGTATACAGACCAGTTCTTCTGATTCCTACTCTAATACTCTCCAGTACACTTTTTGCTCAAAAAAAATTTTAATGAAATTTAAATTAAATAATTATCTAATGTAAAATTCTTGCTGTCACACTCCAATCAAATGTTTGCACTTGACTTTGCAATTTAAAACTTCCTCTTTTACAAACATATGTTGGTAAATATATATTTGTGCATTCATTCAAAAGTAACATCATTATTTAATTTATTTGAAAACATAATCTTAACTTAAAATATGTTCATCAAAGGGGCAGCTGTGTGGTGCAGTAGATAGAGTTCTGGCCTTGGAGTCAGGAGGAGCTGATTTCAAGTGCGGCCTCAGACTTGACACTTACTAGCTGTGTGACCCTGGGCAAGTCACTTAACCCCAACTGCCTCACCCCCCCAATTTTTTTTATCAGAGACAAATGAAATAATATGCAAACCAAGTATGCAGTAAATCCCAAAATAAAACCCTATTAAACTATTTATTTTCTGATTAGAAAAATAAGAATTTCATTAAAATAGAATAACTATTTAATTGTTGTATATCTCCTTCCAAATCTATATGCCCAGCATATAGTCTTTGCTTCTTGTTAGTATTTGTCTTTCCTTGTCAAAGAGGAACAATGACATCAGGAGGCTGATGCCTTGGCTTGCAAATGAATTGGATTTAAGTGAGGCAGGTCTGTACAAAGTCCTCAGCCTCACCCTCTCCTTCAGAGTCATTCAAAATCACTCTGGCTCTCACTGATTGGTCAATAATAGGTCCCAGTCTTTGCTAGGTGGCACAGTGGATATAGAGCTGGACCTGAAGTCAAGAAGATTCATCTTTCTGAGTTTAAATCTGGCCTCAGACATTTACTAGCTGAGTGGCCCTGAGCAAGTCACCTAACCCTGTTTGCCTTAGTTCCTCATCTGTAAAATGAGTTGGAGAAGGAAATGGCAAACCACTCCAGTATCTTCGCAAAGAAAATCCCAAACCGGGTCACAAAGAGTTAGACACTACTGAAAAACAGCAACAAGTAGCCTTTGCTGTTTGTTTTTTTTTTTAAATATGGTTCATCACTGTTTACTTTTTTCTTATTGCAGTGACCTTAATTTGCATCACTTTATATGTCTTGCTATATTTTTGTATCCTTTATATTTGTTATTTTTTACAGTATAATAGTATCTCACTGCAATAACATACCAATATTTGGTGAATCATTCTTTAATTATGAAAAATGAGATTATTTCCACTTTTTTCACTACTAAAAGAAAAGTAGCTTTATTTAGGAAATGCTAATACTTTTTTTTTTGCAAAATGTCACAGTACATCTTTCATCTCTTCTTCCTTTCATTAAAACTGATATACTTTGAGCCTTGTCAGATTCTCAGGATGACTTTTCATCGCCTTATTGTGTGACTTTCAAACTTTATTACTTCTCATCTAGACAATTGGAATAGACTCCTAATCAGTCTCTACCTCATACTTCTCTTCTTCACCCAGCTGCCAAAATGAGTTTCTTAAAATGCAAACCAGTCAGTGTCACTCCCCTACTCACTAAACTACAGTGGCTCCTTGTTCCCTCCAGGATCAAATACGCTCCTCTGTTTGGCATTTAAATACCTTCAAAACTATGTTCCACCTCATATACCCTTCCAGACTTCTTGGACATCTTTCCTCTCTATATCCACAGTGGTCCAGCCTTCCCGCTGCTTCTCAAACACAGAATTCCATTTCCCACTGCTGTGCCTTTGTGCTGGCTGTTCTCCATGGCTGTCATGTACTTCTTCCTCCTGTTCTACATCTATTTTTCTCAAGGATCACTCGAAGTGCCACCTTCTACATGAGGTCTTTCCTGATCCCACATGTGATAGTAAAATAACCTTGTATGTGTTTCCTTCCTTCCTTTTTTCCTTCTTTCCTTCCTTCCTTTTTCTTTCTTTAGCTATCATGTATCTATAACAAATGTATCTATCTACACATGTTGTCTTCCACAGGTAGACTCTGCAAGCTGCTAGAGGAAATAGATTGCATAGTGATTGGTATATAGCAGTTGTTTAGCAAATGCTTGTGATTTAACTGAAAAAAAAATTCAAATGACTTAATTTTCTTTACCCTATTCTATTTAATTAAGGTAAAGTCAAGTCTAACAAAGAAAAGACATCCCCACCTAACCCTCCCAAGTTGTTGTTGTTGTTTTTGATGAGGTAAAGAGGTCATTTTCACCTCTAATACCTAGACATAATTACACAATCAGTTAAATTGAGACCTGTTAAAGACCTTAGCTTAAAAAGGGCAATGTCTTCCACTTCATCAAGAGCCATCTCCAGTAGTCCTGATCTGTATCTTGCCATTGGACCCAGAAAGCTCCAGCACAGAAAGTGAGGCTGGTGATTTTGCACAGTGTTTCCTCACTTAAATCCAATTCACTTGCATGTCATGGTATCATCTCCCTGATGTCATCATGTCCTCTTTGAGAATGATGGACAAACAACAATAACAATAGTTGTTCCATCATTATTTCCAGGGGTTCACTGGAACGTACTGAAATGTTTTCCCTTTTCTCAGTGGTTTCCATACTTCTAAAATATTTTTTTCATTTTGTTGGCTCTTTTTCTTCTTCATTTGCTCCCTTCTCTCCTCCATCTTTTACCAGTTTCTGTTCTTTTCCTTTCCCTCTTTGCTACTTGTTATTATTATTCTTTTACTCTAATTGTTGTATTCCTCAACTACCTTACTGTAATGTATAGGGGTTAGATTTAAACTTCATCTAGCAATCTTGCTAGAAGTCCCCTTCCTTTTTCCTTTCATAGTTGTTACCTTTTCTTTCGTTTATTTAGTGCCTTTTTCAATGTTCTAGGCTGCTGTGTAGAAAGTGGGCCTATATCCTACCTTTAATTTATCCCTCCTACCTATAGCTCCTTGCCTTCACTTTTAGGTTATGCCTTTCCCTGCACTTCTGCATCCTTCATCCATCTTCAGTGGATAGTCTCTTCAGACCATAAGGGAAAGGTGATTTAAAAGGTAAGGAATGACTCAGTGAATAACACTGAGTAGACCCTGTCAGCTGTGGCAAATAGACATCACAGGGCCATGCTGAAGGAGGTATGGACCTTGGAGGGCTGTTAGGTGGAGGATAAGAAACACAATGGGGAAAAAAAAAACCAAAACCCTGAATGCCACATTTCAGGAATTCATACAGCAAATTTGCCTGGAGGAGTTAAGAAAAAGTTGTTAATGCCAGATTCAATCTGATGAGTCTGCAATGAGACCTATTGTTATTTTTTCCTATATTATTTGCCTCATGGGGAGTTGTATAGCCTCTCCTCTTCTTGTTTTATTTACTTTATTTGTCATGCTTCTTATTATTTTATTTAGTGGGGGGGTAGAATGGGAAATAAGGATCAGACACAACCTTTTACTCATCTGCCTTGGCAAAAAGTATATCATTAATTCTTAATGATATAGATTAGAATGTGGTTTAATTTAAAATATCAATTTCCCTGTTGCAGATTACTTCATTATTTATAAAAACCATGACCTTTTGCTAACTATATAATATGATTTGGAGAGGTTCTTACTCTATGTCATTAGACAAGTATACTGAAAGTTAACTTTTTTTATTAAGACAATTCCAAACATTGATCTATGTTTTCTATGCCAGTGTTTTCCATCCTATGGACTGTGAATCAATGGAGGCAAAGGAGTTATTGCCCAGCATCTGCAAAATAGCACTAGTTATCTCATCAAATACCTCTGTATAATAAGTATATAAACATACTTTCTAAAGACTGACTAAATGATATGTTTAGCAAAGGAACTAGCATATAATGGGTATTTGGTAAGTTCTTCTCCATTGATCAGTATACATATTACTACTTTTCAGATACGTGTAGAACATAGACTATTGATAGAGCCTGCTGTTCTGGTCTTTCCCAGCCCTAGTTTATCAAATTATCAAACTGTTCTTCCTAAACACAGATCTGACAGTGTCACTCTCATCCTCCACCATTCCCCACTCAACAAACTTCAGTGGCTTTTTATTACTTCTAGGGTCAAATATAAAATTCTCCGTGTGAATTTTGAATCCTTTCATAACCTGGCCTCTTTTTACCTTTCTACTTTTCTGATACCCTATTGCCCCTCCACATATTCTGTGATTCACTGATGCTAGCCTCCTTGCTTTTCTCCCACAAGATGCTCCATCTCCTGATTCTGCATTTTCACTGGCAGTCCCCCATGCCTGGAACTCTCTCCCCTTTCTTATTTCTGCCTCCTGGCTTCCCTGGCTTCCTTCAAGGTTTGGCTAAAGTCCCACCTCCTTGTAGAAACTGTGCCCAGTTCTCCTGAATATTAATGCCTTCCCTCTGAGAGTATCTCCAATTTATCCAAATTATCCAATTTATCGTATTTCTACTTAGTTGTTTGCCTATTGTCTCTTTTGTGGACTCTGTTGGAACAGGGATTGGTTTTTTGCCTTTCTTTGCATCCCCAGAGTTTAGTACAGTAACTCACATATGGTAAATGCTTAGCTTTATTTATAAAATCCAAATTTATTTAAAAGCATTATTAAATTCATAACATTTTGTCATGTAGTTTCTCAATCTACAAACACTAATAGTATGATTACAATGTGGTTGTACATGAAATTTTTTGCCATTTAAAAAAATTATCCCTATGCCACAAATTTGCTGTCTTCTGATTTATGCTAACAAGGTGCAACCAAAGTACATCAACATATCGGAAAGAAACTGTGTTTCTCTTCCAGAAAACAAAACAAAACAAAACAAAATACTACTTCTATCTTTTTGTTATATAAATAGTATAAATGTAATTGTTAGTGGTAAGTCATATGGTTAAATGTAACGTGCACATAATAAACCTTTCTTCTTACCAATAACTTTCAGTGGAAGAAGGCATGTTACATCCAAACAGTAGCATGTGATGGACAGTATCCATGCTGGCACGAGGTTTGAAATCAACTACAAGACAAAATGAGAAATGGGCACGAATGAGCCATGTTCTTGAACTAACACAGCAATACAAATGAAGACATTACAGTGCTCTCATTATATGGTTCCTAGCAGTGTAAAATATTTGTGTTTTCTATGATCAGTATAACTTGATAGTTTGATATCTGATATAACAGGGTAATAAACTATGAAACAGCAACGAACAGAGGATCACTGGCCTCCAAGGACTTTCTCAGCATATAAAAGGCAGGTTATTTTTAAAAGAACAGCAATAATATAGTACTGCTACCTACAACCTAGTCTTTGATAATGTTTTCCCTGTCAGATCATATAAGGCTGAATGATATAAAACTTAAACTATGCAAATAAAACACTGTAATGAAATAGAACTAAAAAATGAATGGTTAAAATTCCATCAATGGGGCTAAGGCAACATATATGAAATTTTCTCTTAACAATCAATCACTGGGATATACTTTGAAGAAGTGATTAAACTATATATATATATATATTATATACATATATATGTGTGTGTATATATATGTATGTATGTATGTATATATATATATATATATATATATATATATAGAGAGAGAGAGAGAGAGAGAGAGAGAGAGAGAGAGAGAGATGGTGCCAATATATATGTATATGTGTATATACCTATGCATCCCTTTTGAGTGGGATAGTTAATCTATTAGGGAGGCATAAAAAGATTGAACTGATTCAGTGAAGGTTCAGTTGAGATTAGGCCATATAAACTCGAAGTCGTCCCAGTCAGCATGTTTTTATGACTTTCTCCAGTTTTGTTCAGCATCACTTGAGCAGAAGTGAAGGTAGTAGATGATAGAAATAATTCAAGACTGAGGTTTGGAAGGAAGCAAGAGCTTCAATAGAATAAAGGCACAAGGGACTTGAGAGAAGAAGGCAGTACAGAGTTGAACTTGTTCACCAGGGGTTCAATATGGGGAAGGGTCATATCTTATCTGGAGTACTGCATTTGGTTCTGAGCACTATGCTTTAGAAGGGATATTGATAAAAAGGAGAATTTCTAGGAGAAAGCAAAAAGGATGTTTACCTTGCTCCTTGAGACCAGAGCACGTGAGGTTTTGTTGAAGGAACTTAGTATATTTCATCTGAAGAAAAGAAATCTATGAGGGACATGGCAGGTATTTTCAAATATTTGAAGGGCTGAGTACATAGGATGAGTTTCACTTGCTCTCTTTGTCCCCAGAGGTCAGGATGAATGAGGAGAATGAAGTAGTTGCAAAAGAGGCAAACTTAGGCTCAATGTCAGGAAAAACTTCCTAATAATTAGCATTGTTCAAATGTAGGATGACCTGACTTGAGAGATAGGGGGCTCTTCAATAGAATAAAGGCTCATGGGACTTGAGAGGGAGATCTTCAAGCAGAGTTCAGTTGATAACGTGTTGGGTATGTTACAGTGTGGATTCCTCTTGTGTTTGGTTGAACTAGTTGGCTACTAAGACCTTTCTGAACTCTCAAATTGTGTGATTTTGATTCCTGAAAAAAACAAAGCATGATAACACTAACAATGATGATAATAATGATAATAATGGCATATACATGGTACTTTCACATTTGCAAAATACTTTTTCACATATTATTCATTTGAGCCTCACAACATATTCATGAGTTAGGTGAGGAGAAAGTACATACATTCCAGGGACAGGCTAGGCAAAGTCATAGAGGTTGGATAAGGAATGCTATATTTGGAGAATGTGTGAAATAAGTCTAGAAAGGTAAGCTAGAGAATGATTGTGAAGGGATGTCAAGAGGTAGTGTTTAAATTTTATCTAAAGGCAATAGGAGACAGTGAAGTTTCTTGAACAGGGGAATGACGGAATACGCCCTTGCTCTAAAATGGCAATTTGGGCAGTTTGGGGGAGGATTAAAGAAGGGAAAGACTGAAGGTAGGTGAGACCAATTGTAATCATTCATGTTACAGATGGTAAGATATTTAATCCAAATCCAACATTTGTTTAATTAAACCATGCCTCCCATAGCAGTGTGTTACTTCTGTTTTGTTTTGTTTTTTGGTCTTAAGCTGTGACTGCTCATCATTGCAGTGAATTTGAAGAATGAAAACTTCCTCTAGCCATGTAGCTAGGTGACTTGTATATAACTTAAAGTATCAGAGAGTTGCCTAGAACACTAAGAGATTAAGTGACTTGCCATCATCACACAGTTGACCATATCTCAGAGGCATGACGTGAATCCAGTTCTTCCTGATTTCAAGACTGACTTCTTATCTAGTACTCAATGTTCACATAGTGAAAGATATTAGGTAAATATTGAATGAATTTAAGATTTAGAAAAGGTCAGTAGTTAGTCTGTCATGAAATGAAAGGATTAACCATTTTATTGGCTACTCTATATGATTAAACAGAGATTGCTAAAGAAAGAATTCATTCAATAAAGGCTTTGGAACTGATACTGAACTGAACTCTAAGAATATAAGATAACATACTTCAAAAATCAGGAGAAAGGCCTTTAGTATCTGAGGCACAAGTTTCTTACATGATTTATGGCAATGTGATGGATAGGAATTTTGTGGCTTTTAGGGGCTCTCTAATCAGACAGAATCTGAACTGGATTAAAATTAATTTTTGACATGGAGTTAATGCCCATAATTTGAGAAAGCAGCTCCAGTCACCCATTACAAATGCATGATCCAGTTACTAGATTTCTGGAGTCTTTATTCTACAAGCCAATGGATTTCAGAGGACACATTCACAACCAGAAAACTGGGGGTGTTCTTAGTAAAGGGTTGGTGGATTCATTAAAAATCTAAAAAGAAAGTAAAAGTAAATTCAGAAGAGGGCTTAGCCATATTGAATACACAGGTGGAAACAAGGAGGCTGAACAAAGGATTATATACCAGGCAGGGTCACAGTTCAAATTGCAGATCAAGAAGTACCTCTAATAAAAAGCAATTTCCAGACATCAGTCTAAGGCAAACATTGACTATTATCAAGGTCATCCACATTCTTTGTTTTATTTGAGGCCAATAATAAATATAAAGGATACTTTTCTTTCCCATTCCCCCTTCCCCAACCCTATCTAGAAGCACATTTCTTTCTTACTTAGACTTCTCCTGAGAAAATTTTATTTCTACTATTTCTTTTTGAATGGTTGATTTCCTGGAGTTCACAGAAGCAGCTAGGTGTATGGATTTTCTTTTCCTCTACTGCACTGTTTTCTCTTCCTCACCTGCTGAGAGGTCTTTCTCTAGGGAGCTCATGAAAACCAGAGTGGGGAGCTGATTAAGATCTGGTTTTCACTATATGATCATATTGCCTTCATTTCAAATCTATTAGTTCAGTTCTTTGTTTTAGTATAGATGAAGCAATTGAATCTCTACCAGTTACTTTTCAAAATTAACTTGGATCTTGGATACATAATGTTCTTTCATTCATTAAAGGTTTATTTTTTTTTTAAAGAGAGGAGTTCTGTTTAGTCTTTTCAACTTGCATGCAGAAACTGAAATGCTGGGTAGCTTTTGCACGGTAATCAAGATACTAGGTTCTACCAGTCTTAGCATAAGTGTTCTTTAGAAAACAGTGCCACGGAATTTCAAATCCTGGCTCATCATCAGTAGATTTCCATGTAATTCTTCATTTTTTCTCAAAGAATTCAGTGAAGAGGTCTTGGTCTTGCTTTCCATCCCAATCTTTTCTTTATATGAAGGTCCTTGTAATGTGTTCTTGAACACCATGGCCCCTCAGTTCATCAACCTCTTCAACTCCATGACTTCTATTTTTATTCCAATTCAGCCAAACACAGCAATGTTACACTTTCACACCAGCACTTGTAACTGTTCTACCTCAAAGATTCATGACTTCTCTGATTACATTTTCCTATCCTTCAATCATTGCTTCATTCTTCTAGAGCAAGTGTGGAGAACCTGAAGCCTTGTGGCCTTCTAAGTCCTTGGGTGAGGTCTTCTGACTGAGTCTGAATTTTACAGAACAAATCCTTTTATTAAAGGGATTTGTTCTGTGAAGTTTGGATTCAGTCAAAGGGCTGCACTTGAGGACCTAGAGGGTTACATGTGACCTTGAGACCACAGTTTCCCCACCCCTGCTCTAGAGTCTTTTAATACTCAACAATGCCCAACTCTTCTTCATGTTTGTCATCTCTGCTCTGGTATTTTTTTTTTCATAATCTTGATCCTGGATGACCAATTCTATTAGACTCTATCAGCTATACCCAAAGGAAAATGGAAAAGTCTTATTTGCCTTAAAGAAGTAGTCTTTAGCTGTAGGCTAGAACAGACTTTTCAACTCAAGCAGGTTATTCTTTCTCTGAGGCATGAAGCTCTTAAACCATTGAACAGAATTATTCCTAGCTGTCTAGCCAGTGCCCTCAGGCTCAATTTATTTTTATGAGGATTTCTAGTTTTCTGGGATTTGACTCTTCAACATAAACCTCACTCTAGCATAGGGTGGGAATTCTTTACATTTCCCTTTTTTAATCTCAACTGAGTATTCTACGATCACAAATTCACATCATGGGAGCTCTGTGACAGAAACCCCATTTGAACTGATTGAATCTGATTCCTTGAAGTTTCCTCTTAGGTACCCAACATGCTTTGCATCTACTGTGCAAATGAATCTAAGCCAGCACAAAACTGAACCCAGGAAGTGAAAAGAGGACAAGGACACACTCTTTCCCACCTGATCACATTCTTGGGCTCCCATAAATGTCTGCAACAGCTGAGCCTTTCCAGGCTTCATCTTCTCTCACCCAGTTTTACTGATCTTTACAATACCTCTAAATGTATTCCTTTCTCTCCATTCGTTCCCAATACTCTAGTTCACATGCCCTTACATTTTGCCTGGACTGTTAAAAGAACCTTCCAATATATTTTATTGCTTCTATTCTTTCTCCTCTCTAATTCACCCTCCACATAGCTATCAAGCTGAAATTCTTAAAACACAAATCTGACCATGTCACTCCCTATTGCAAAATCTTCACTGTCTCCTTTT